GAAGGGAGGGCAGGGAAATGGGGAAAAAATAAGAACCAGGATGCATCATGTACAGGTACAAGCACCCAATGATAAATGAAAATGTATTGTATACCTAAAATATACCAATAAAAGAATTTAAGAAAAAAAAATAATGATCTGAGCTGGGTGTGGAATCACATACATGTAGTCCCACCACTCAAGAGACTGAGGTAGGAGGACTGTGGAGAGTTCGAGGCCAGCCTTGGCTACACAGTGAGTTCAAGGCCAGCCTGAACTACATAGAGAGACTTTGTCTCAAAGAAAAAGAAAAAGAAAAGATCTGAGGCTCATATGCATGTAATCTACTCTTTAGCCTCACCAATTGGATAGCTGAGAGTATTCTTCCTGCCTTCTCTCTCAGGGATGCTCTTCTGAGACTCTTCTCTTTCAAGCATATTATTGAAGTTTCATTTGAATTATATCAAATGCTAGTAGTTCTGTGTGTGTGAGAAGTTCTTCTTATTCTTGTCTTTTACTGTTGTTATGTATTTGAAGTAAATTCAGAAATAATGGTAAGAATTGAAGAACCATTGCCCTATAGGCATAATTGAATGAAGAGCTGCAGGAGGGAGACTGGACAAGAGAATGGAGCTGTTAACCTGAGTGTGGGAAAATCTTGACTTTACTGAGGTTGGGATTTGTTCATCTTATCTGCTCTGAACCTGAATTGAATCTCAGAGAGTTACAGAAACAAGAACTTTAAGACAATGTGGCATAGATATGCAATAAAGAAAACACAGAACATTTAGTAAATGGTACTGGAAAGACCAACAGTCAGTTTCTGGTAGACCTTTCTGGGTGATATTCATTAGCTTGGATGATTGTCTAGGTCTTCTGGTCCTCAGTTTGCAATTTTATTTTCCTATGTATATAACAGCAGAATAGTCTTAACATAATGTGATGATTATGATTGATGATAGTAATAATAATAATAAAGGCAGGAGAAAACTTAGGGAAGTTATACTGTTTTGAACATGCTTATAAATTCCCGTATGTAAAAGTTTTTCCATGTGAATAGTCATTAGCTGAATTTTTTAGGTGGATACATGCAAGTTTTGTTTAATAAGTTATTGTCAAATTGTTTTCCAAAGTGATGATACTGATTTATTCTTCTACCAACATAGTGTAAAAGTTTTCCCTATTTCACATTATTGCCAGCTCTTAGAATTGTTAGATTTAATTTTTCCAATCTAGTTGGTCTAAAGTAGAATCTTATTCTTTGTTCATCAATTTTCTTTTTCATGTCTCAAGTCTATGTGAGATTTTTTTTTTAGTATTTACTTTTCTGAGGTCTAACAATAACAAAATCCTCTCTCTCCAGATGCCTTTATTTTGAGTGCAACCTTAGAATTATAGTTTAGATGGGTGTAGAATTATGGTTATTTTCTTTTAGTACATTGAAATAATTCCATTATCCTCCAATTTTCATTGCACTGGGGGCGGGGCTAGTATAATTTTCATTGCTTTGAATGTAATATCTTTGCTCCCTGAATACTTAGGCCTTCTCTATGTTTTTGCTATTCTGCAAAATTGCATTTCTTCATTCTTCTGGTTTTGGGTGTGAGTTTCTTTTTATTCAACCTTTTGGAATTCATAAATGGCTTCCAAATATGTGTGAAATTTGTATGGATGAAGTTCAATCAGGGCCTTAAATTTTCAGCATGCACATATTAAGATGTACAGGAACAAAAGGGGAGTGTTTCAATATAATATTAAATATGATTTAAAAAATTCTGAATCTGATCATTCAGAAACTATGGATAGTAGACCTTTGTCTGAGGAACAGCTGGTAAAAATTTTTTCCACATTGTGGGTTGTCTCTTCATGCTGTTGGTGGTTTCTCTTGATGTGCAGAAGCTTTTTAATAAGAAGAGATCCCACTTGTTGATTTTTTGTGCTAGTTCACATGCGACTGAGGTTTTGTTCATGAAATCTGTTCCTATGCCAGTGTCTTCAAGAGTTCTCTTCTAAGTGTTTAGTGTTTCTGTTTTAGTACATGTGCTGCTGAAGCGAGCACTAGTGTTTCTGTTTGAATATTTAGATCTTTAATCCATTTTGATTTTAGTTTAGTGCATGGTGAGAGATATGGGTCTACTTTTAATCTTTGGCAAGTTCAAACCCAGTTCTTCCAGCACCATTTATTAAGGAGGCTATCTTTTCTCCAGTGAGGGTGTTTGGCTTCTTTGACAAAAAGGAGGTGTCTGAGTATTTTTAGAGTTGTTTGTGCATCTTCTAATCTGTTCCATTGATCCTCTGGTCTGTTTCTTTGCCAGTACCATGCTGGGGTTTTTTGTTTGTTTGTTTGTTTTTGTTTTTAATCACAGTAGCTTTGTAGTATAGTATTAGAAGTCCCATTTGACCTAGCTATTCCCCTCCTGGGTATTTTCCCAAAAGAATTAAAAGCATCATACCACAGTGATACATGCGCACCCATATTTATAATGGCACAGTTTGTAATAGCTAAAGCTTGGAAACAATCCAAATGCCCGTCAACTGGTGACTGGATAAAAAAAGATGTGGAGATATATATATATATATTAGAGTACTACTCAGCCATAAAGAATGAGAAACTAGAGACATTTATAGCTAAATGGATGCACATTGAGGTCATACCCCTAAGTGAGATAAATAGGACACACGTGTAAATAACGAATTGTCTCAATATGAGAAATTGATATGAGGACCAAAATATGTAAAATAGATAATGTGAAATGGAAGCAAAGGTTCAAAGGTGAAGTGGGAGAGTGGGGAGAGGAAAGAAGGAAAAGAAAAAATATGACAAAAGAAGGAAAAAACAGAAACAAAGTTTTTATAAATAGGGTTGGAAGTGAGGGAAGGGGAATGAGAAAAAACAAGAACTAAGACATATCATGTACAGGTACAAATTCCCAAAGATGAATGTGATCATAGGGTATACCTAAAATGTACAATAAAGTTAATTTTTTTAAAAAAGTCAATTCTTGAGGATACAATGGCACACATCCATAATCCCAGGACTCAGGAGAGTGAGGCAAGAAGGTTGCTGAGAATTTGAGGCCAGCCTGAACTACATAGCAACGTCCTGTCTCAAAAAAAAGTAAATTCTTAGCTTGCTGTTTTTTATACTGCTTGATACGAACAGCCTGGAAACTTATGGATGAGCATGCTTGTGGTAGTGAATTCTAAGGGGAAAATAACTTCTCCTTGTTCCTACTCAGTATTATATTTCAAGATAGTCAACTTTCCTTGTATTGACATGGAAGAATATTATTACTAGCTCACTTAATGCTGAGGGAATACCATTTTGGGGTCCCAGTTTTATGCAGTTCCTGTAGATTATCCCCCCTAAACCATCTTGGATTAGTATGTTGTTCCCTGTGGGTTTCAAGGAGATAAAACCTATGTTGATTAGAGTAACATCAAACTGTAACAAATATAGTCCAAAATTTAAATAACAACATAATATTTCTGAATCACATAGTAATGTAATTTATATGTTTCTGGTGACAGTGCTGCTTTTTTCTATATGGTAATTCAGAGAGCCAGGCTTTGTCCTTCTTGCAGCTCTGCCATCTCCTGGGGCCCAGGAATCTTCTGTATTTAGCTGGCAATTTGCAAAAAAAAAAACCACCAACAACAAAAAAGAGGTCGAAGGAGACACACTCAATTCTTCACTCTCTTGCACCAGAAGTGACTGGCATTCTGTCAATTTGTATTCTACCACTGAGAGCTAGTCCCCTTGCCTCATGTAGGTGCGAGGGAGGTGGGTGGAGAAATGTAAGCTCTAGTTGGGCAAGTACTTATAGCGATCACCTGATGAATGGTATGGAAGGCAAGTGCAAAGAGAAGGTTGGTGGACGGTTAAATAAGTGTCAAAAAAAGAAAACCCTGACAAAGCTAAAAATTGCCTGGTTTGGTTAAGATCTCTAAATGGAAGCTGCCTTCAATGCTTATCTTTGCAGGTTCTACTTTTATTTAAGTTTTGGCTTTTAAGAATTCTTAATTTATTACTAGGCTCTCATATACTGGAAAGGTATTTTAG